GATGAGTGAAGCTGTGTTGACTCTGCTAGGACTGACTTACACTTCAGACCAGCTAAGACCATGCATGGAGTGCTGGTTTTAGGAAATAATGAGGTAAGACATACCTGGTATTTTAACTTTCCATCCTTTAGAAGTCTCAGTTTAAGTTGTCTCTCCAGAGTCTCTCCATAAATATGGTTCAAGTCAACCTGTAAAACAAAAGCATTTGGAACATAAAGCCAAGCTACATTTTTTGCTATTTTAGGCTAGGTCCCACTTCCATGGATGCCAATAGGAGCTCATCCCTCAGATGTTTACCTTTTACTTATATTATTGTTACCTTATAAGTATCATGCACTGATATTCAAGATTAAGCCAAATTATTTCCTGGCAACTAGAGCCATCTCTGCATAAGAGCACGTTGCTAAATTGACTGGCAATTTAAGAGGGCTCTGTTTAAAGTGTCAGCAGCTTTCTATTCTGCAGACAGCTCTTTGTTTAAACGTGCATATTTTATAGTTTCTGGTTTAGACATACACACTACCCTTACATAAGAGCTGCCTGTTTTGTAGATAAAATCCTAAATCCAAGTCTGCTTTTGAAGGTCTCTTTAATCTAAGTCTTTCCAATTAGCAGCACGCGAGATACTTTAGGGTGCTAGACACAGCTCTTTGCAGCTGACAGAAAGGGCCCCAGGCCAGTGAGAAGCCAGAATGTCTAACACGCTTTAGGTGAAAGCAGATTCTTGGAAATAACAGTTTTTAAGAAGTCTTACAGATCACTGTAATTTGGAATAGAACCACGTGCTTTGCACAAGTGGCTCTGCCCCAGGAAGAGATGCTGTCATTTGCCTGGGGAGAAGTGTCAGCAGGCAGGGCTGAGCCCAGCGGTTTGTGGCAAACGGTGCTGCACAGTATGTGCACCAGAGTGTGCCCTGGCAGCCTGCAAGGTGCCACTGCAGCTGCTCAGCAGCTCCTGAGAACCAAGTGCTGTGCTCAAGTTAGAGAGCTATGGTCGTACCCCGTGGCCCAGAGCTTTGGTGAAGCCAGGTCCTTTCTTGTGGTCTGTCTTAAAGAACTGGTGGGTGAAGTGTTGGGCAAAGAATGTGAACATCACATTTGTGCCTTGTGGGTCTGGAATAAATTTTCTCCTCAGCAAAAACTTCTCCACAATCACCTTGGAATCTGGGAGCTCCTTCTTGCCTGAAAGAGAAAGTAGCGAGATGTTCAAGACAACTGTGTTTATGCAATTCTTAATTTTGCTCCTAACAACAAAAAGGCTTAAGACTTCCAAGGTATTACTGAAGGATAGCAGCATACTAGTAAAGGGAATTAGGTACAGTCATAAACTTTTTTCTATGCTCACTTTCTTGACTTTATTAGAAACTTCAGAATTCCCCATTTGTAGGATGCAATAATGAGAATCAGAACAGTTCTCTTTCACACAGCACATCAAGAACGTGGCTATTCTTAAATTCTCTAACCACTGACAAGCAGGGCTCATAGCATTTTCTGAGAGAATAAAAAAAGTAGAAATTCCTACAAGTGACCATTATGCATCTGTTTTGTTCCTTACCTTTCACACCCATTGGTGTTGGACAGTCGAGTCCTACTGGTGGAAGGCTTCTTGTATAATAGGAAAGGTTGGAATAAGCTTCCCAGCTTTTGTAATTATAATCACTGTTGTAAGTTGGTGGGCTGTCAATCAAGTGTGATCTGGCTGGAAAAGAAAAAAGAAAAGTTTGGGTTTGTTTTTTTTTTTAACAGTGTATTTTAGTCTCAAATAGTAAACCACAAGGCCAGACTTTTTCCATGTATTTTGGCAGCAGCTGCATTGACAAATTCCACACGTACCAGTTACTGGCATTAAATGGGATCAACAGCTACTGAAAAACAGGAGCAGGTCCTGAATTATCAGATGGATCCGACTATTAACATCAGCATTTTGGTGCAAAGTTTAGGCTGGCAAAACCCTGGATTTTATCAGAGGTGAGAGCACAATGCATCTCCATGTCAAGGTATGTTTCACACAAGCCTGCAAGCTTAGGTCTGGTTTGGTTTGGTTTTGCCCTGGCAGCTTTAACAGGGGCTGAGCGAGCGCGGCGCTCGGAGACCCGCGAGTGACTTCTGGCAGTTGTGAGGAGACAGGGCTCACACTTACACGTTAACACGTATCTCATAATAGCATCTCGTAAGAAGGGAATGTTGTTGACGATATTCCAGGCTCCTCTGAAGTGGGTGAGGATGTAGTGGACCGTGTTGGGCGAGGGTTTCAGCGTCAGCCTCAGCCACGTGAGGAATTCCGCTGGGAGCGGGGATGGAAAGAGAGCTGTGAGTTGAGCTGTGGAGAATCCCCTGCAGCCCTGCAGCTGCACTCTCCCGTCTCATTTCCACGAGAGGAGATCCCAGGTACTTACGTGTCGTGCAGTTTTCCCCGTAAAACCCCGTCCTGGTGCAGTCACACTCGTAGCCATCGAGCCCCGTCGTGGTGCACACCCCTCTGTTCTGGCACGGGTTTGAGCAGCAGGGGTTGGCTGGAAGGAAACCAAAGCTCCAGTCAGTGTCTCGCACGGCTACACTGGCATTCTCATCCCACTAAGCTCATTTTTCATTAGTGTCTCTGATCAGTGCTACGTATGGCTGCCCACACAGGTGCTCACCTCTCCCCGAGGCAGCTCTTCAGCTGCAGGTGGACAATGTCCTGAAGTTTAACGCTGATCAGGACGACAGGAGAGTGAACATCCATTCACCTCAGCCCACTGCAGGTAACAGTTTCCCGCCAGCACTAACCCCCCAGGCTCACTGCACCGAGACCTGACATCCCTTCTACCGTGCAGCAAGCGCTCCAGAAATCACAACAGAACACGGAGCATTAAGAAAAACCAAGCGTTAAATCCATCTGCAGCTGAGAGGGAAGCCAACCCCGTCATGGATGGCGTGAACCCGCTGCTGCCCCGGGGGGACGGGACGGGACGGGACGGGACGGGAAGGGAAGGGAAGAGAAGGGAAGGGACT